AGACTGATCAGTCGTGAGGAAATTGAAACACCCACCAAAAATCTCCCAAAAAAGAAAAGTCCAGGAACAGATGGCTTCACCAGTGAATTCTACCAAACATTCAAAAAAGATTTAAAACTTATCCTTCTTAAACTGTTCCAAAAAATTGAAGAAAAGGAAATTATTTCCTAACACATTCTATGAGGCCAATATAACCCTGATACCAAAACCTAGGAAAGATAACACAAAGAAAGAAAATTAGAGACCAATATATCTGATGAATACAGATGTAAAAATCCTAAACAAAATACTAGCAAATTGATACCACAGTACATCCAAAAAATAATAGATCACGATCAAGCAGGGTTCATTCCAGGGGCACAAGGATGGTTCAATGTAAGCAAATCATTCAACATAATACACCATATTAACAAAAGAAAAATCGTATGATCCTATTAATAGATGCAGAAAAAGCATTTGGTAAGATACAACATCCATTTATGATTCAAACACTCAATAACATAGGACTAGAAGGAAAAGTACCTCAACATAATAAAGGCCATCTATGATAAACCCTCAGCTAATATCACACTCAAGGATGAAAAACTGAAAGCTTTTTCTCTACAATCTAGAACAAGACAAGGATATCCACTCTCACCACTCTTATTAGGCATAGTGGTTTAAATCCTAATCAGAGCAATAAGGCAAGAGAAAGAAATAAAAGGCACCCAAATAGGGAAGAAAGAAATCAAACTGTCACTTTTTGTGGAAGACATGCTTCTGCATACAGAAAACCCTAAACACTCCACCAAAAAAACTATTAGGAACAATAAACAAATACAGTCAAGTTGCAGGATAGAAAACGAATGTGCAAAAAATCCACCACCTTCCTGTATTCTAACAACAAAACTTCAGAAAAAGAAATGAAAAGAACAATTCATTTTGCAATTGCAACCAAAAGAATAAAATAACTAGAAATAAACGTAACAAAGAACATGAAAGACCTATCTACTGAAAATTACAAAGCATTATTAAAAGAGATTAAAAAAGCACAACAAGAACCTGGCTACAGAACCTGGCGACCGAACCTGGCTGGATAACCTAAACTGAACCTGGCTGGAGAACCTAGCGAGAGAACATGGCTACAGAACCTGGCTGGAGAACGTGGCTGGAGAACCTAGCAAAAGAACATGGACACAGAACTTGGCTGGAGATTGTGGCTAGAGATCCTGGCAAGGCTGCTGATCAACTGAACGCTGCACTTAGTTAAGAGGTTTTATTCCCTCCCTAACTTCAGGGGAAAATCCCTACCTGGGGAAACAACCTTTCTCGGAGAGGTGACCTTGGTTAAAACACAGCGCAAAGAAGGTGAGCAAACATATTAAGAACAGTATGCCATATATGCCAGGTCCCTTGAAACAGCAAGGATGGACCGGCTCCTGGCAAGTGTCCTGCGATAGGACTGGATATAAAAGTTGTGGTACATATACATAATGCAATACAACTCAGCCATAAGAAAGGATGAAATAGCACCATTTGCAACAACCTGCCCCTTGAGAACATTATGCACCTTGAGAACATTATTCTAACTGAAGTAAATCCCATATAATAAAAGGCTAATATGCAAATAGATCGAACAGCAGAACAACCGAACCGGTCGCTATGACGTGTACTGACCACCAGGGGGCATGCACAGAACATAGCAGGTGTCTGCTTCGACAGGATGGTGGAGCAGGTGAGCGGTGCATCAGACCAAGGTGGGGCGGGGCGCTGGTAGCTATCATTGGAGTGGCCCTATGGTGGTTACTGAAAATTCTTTGCTCCCGCGCACCATGGTCCTGCCTGGTGCTCGCACCTGCTACTGGCGCTGGCCCTACCCGCACCTGCTTCCATTGCCTGGTGCTGGCCCTGATCGCTCCTCAGGGCTTCTCCACCTCCCCTGCTCCTGAGAGGCGATCAGTGCAGCAGCTGCTGCTCACACCCACTGATGGCACTGGCCCCGCTTGCACCCACTGCTGGCGCCAGCCCCAATTGCTCCACACCATCAGTGGATGCAAGCAGGGGCGGTGCCATCAGTGTGTGGGAGCAGCAGGGGCGGGAGCAGGGCTACTGGCAGACAGGGGACAGGGGCCACAGTGGGAGGGGCCAAGGCGCACCCCTGTGCCCACTGCAGCCTTGTGGCCCACAGTTCTTTACAAGCTTCATGAATTCATGCACTGGGCCCCTAGTCAGTCATAAAAAGCTAAGAACCATATGACTTCACTCATATGTGGGATCTAAAACTTAAACTCATGAACACAAGCAGTATGGTGGTTGCCAAAGGGAAGGGGGAAGAGGGGTAGGAGTCCTAATATATGGTGACAGAAGAAGATTTGACTTTGGGTAGTGAGCACATGGTATAATATACAGATCGTGTAACATAGAAAACCACACTGAAACCTCTATGTTCACGTTGACCAATGTCACCCCAATAAATTTAATTTTAAAAAAAGATAAAGATATCACTCAAGAATTAAAATACATTTAAATTAAAACTATTCAAAACTTCTGTCTGAAGCTTAGATATAATGAATGTTACCATATTTAAATTTAAGCCTTTTTTTCACCACTAATGCTCTACCACAGCAATGTCACAGTGGTGAGAGGCTAACGTATATTTCATTATGATTAAAATAATGGGCACTAGATTTAACAATTAATGATTTTTGCTTCCCATAGACTGCTGCTTCCATAAGGGTACAGACATTCTTACAAATGAGTTTTAATTATAAGAACTTCATCTTTGTTTATCTTGTTTATTAGCCTAAGCAGTATAATACTATGGAGTATTTTATTTAACTAAACTACCCTGAGCTATAAGATCACTTTTTAATAGGCTGCATACATGGATGTGTTTTGTAAACTGTAAAGCACTACATGAGATAGAATGTATGTACAAATGTCAAGTAGTTTGGAGATATCAAACTGAACTTAGTAAAAAGTAGGGCTTCTGAAAGTATTTGTCAATCATTCCAATCTTAGATGTAATAACTGCAACTTTAGAATAGATAAAATTTCCAATAAGTAACTGAATGCCCCCAATATCATGGAATACAATGCTTCCCAACAAGTGGGTACTCAGTAAATGTTCTCTAAATGACTAACATTAAAAATGATAATGTCTCTTGTATTGCTATGGTTATACATTCTTTAGCTAGTCTTGTTTTGGTAGAATGAATACAGTAAATTATTATTGGCTATTTAAATGTATGAACCCATGACAACTATGCAGAACAAAATACAATTGCCTTGACCCCTCTCAATATGTTTGTTTTTAATTTTTCCTAAGAGAACCATTATTATGAACCATTCAAACTCACAAAAATACCCAGAAATCTTCAGAGTCTCCTGAAATGTCTCGGCATCTAATAAACTATCACTCTCTCCATTATAACCATCCTTCACTTTCTTATACAAGTAAACAGCTTCCTAATTCCAAAAATGCAAAAGCAATGTCTTGTACCATTTTCCTTTGCAAGATTTGTACTGTATTTCAGTTACCCTAAGGGTTATAGAGACTTTTATGAACTAGCCTTGATTCTTAACCATTATTTATTTCATTGTTTACTTAAGTAAGGCATTCCAAATTCCAAGTAACTAATTCAAAATGAAAAATTTCAGAACAAAACATATTCATTACTTGACATCCAGTTGTTTTTTGTTTTTGTTTTTTTTTTTTAGTTTTTTAAAGCTAGTTGCTACTCATGAGAATAGGGGGTCTATTAGTGAGCTATGATCAAACTTCCACCCACAAATCAATAGCATAGGTAACATGGAGAATAAAATAGTGCAGAATTATGAAGTAGAAGCAAGGTAGTAGCTAATTCAGACCAGGACAGAATCTGACACAGAGAGCTATGTGATAGAAAGAAACAATGGATAGTAAAAAGATACTCATATTTTAAGGCATCAAGTTCAGAGAGAGTAGCAGTATGAGGATATGAGATTGTATCAGTAAAATGTGAGGAGTGTGCAATTCGTCCCTCTCATTACTCTATAACTTTGAACTTTATGAAAGCACATTAAATTGAAAAGTCTAGTTTTGCGGGTAGATTGATATTATTCACTACCCTCCCCTACTTCTACTTCTACTTCTTTTATTTTCTTTATTTTCCTCTTTTTGTTAAATTTATTGGGGTGACATTGGTTAATATTATCATATTGGTTTCAGGTTTAGTTTTCTATGTTACAAGATCTATGTATTGTCTACGTCTTCTCGATTTCTTATTGCTTGCCCTCAACTTATGGGACTTGATCTCTTTAATTTTCACTTGGTCTTTAAATTTTCATTTAGCCCTATAGCTTAACTCTTTAAGGTATTATCCTTTATCTTATTGGTTTTATATTCTTTTGCACAGAATTAGCCTTGTTTTCTATAAACACAATGCAACCCTGTACCCTCCTAAGACTAAGACACTGACATAACATTAGAGTTAAGGATGGAAACAACCAAAGACAATAGCATTCTTTCCAGCCTCCCTGACCCCACTTCTATTAAATTATACTCTGAAGCTCTCACATCTGAACAAATGATTTTCAAAAATGCATTGGTTTTTTAAGAATGTTCATTACTACATAGATGTTAAAACAATTACTATATATATGGGCTAAAAAAAAGTTCACTTAATAGACTGACTATAATAACATCAATCTGAATTATGATCATTAGACTTTTTCTCTCGATATAATTCAAATCCATGCAGTAGGAGAATATTAGGGTAGACTTGTGCTCTAGTACAAAAGTATTCTTGCAATATAATACTGAGCATTTTTAATGATTTTAACCTATATGTAAAGATACTTAATGGAATTAAAAACCCTCTGACTATTACATCTTTAGAAAACAAATGTTCTACACTTCACAGAAAAACAAAAACAAACAAAAAAAACTACAAAAATTGTGTTCATGGGCCAAAATACTATTTTCAATCAACTGAAAATTAGTATTGTTCTATGACAAGATGGGCAAAATTGGTACTTACCTTTGATACCAAATCAATATTAAATTTCCTGCCTTCTTTAACAATTTGTGAGTAAGTAATCCTATTTTTCTTTGGTTGTTTTGCGATGTCTTCTACTATAGGCACATTTTCACTTGTTCCCTCTTCTGAAGTTGACAGCATACAAGTTTTATCACGACCGTTTTCTTTCACCCTGGTCACTTCAACATCATTTACTTCTAGGGCACTCCCTGGAGTTTTTTCTGTGAGCACTTCACCGCTCACAGTGCTTAATGACTCATCTTCTGTAGGCAGGCAGGCAGAATTTGCAGCTTCTGTGGAGTTCGCAGATGTCATTGGAGAGTGATTTTTCTGCAGTGCACCAGCCTCTTCGACACCTTCATGCATATCCTGACTAATGAGAAATTATAATAACAATCAATACCACAAATTGTACTTGGTTGCATTTTTATATTGTAATTTGTAATGACAATTTTTACTTCTTTACCCCATTGAATCTTATCAAGTTCACTGTATGTTTTGCCTTCTGTGACCCACACATTAAACATTCATCTGCTCAGGTTTCAATACAATGTGAAACATAATTAAGATTTGTGACTCAGTGGTTGAGCATAGACCTATGAACCAGGAGGTCACAGTTCAATTCCTGGTCAGGGCACATGCCCGGATTGCTGGCTCAATTCCCAATAGGGGTGGATAGGAGGCAGCTGATCAATGATAGTCTCTCATCATTGATGTTTCTACCTCTCTTTCCGTCTCCCTTCCTCTCTGAAGTCAATAACAATATATTTAAAAGGAAGATTTGAAAATCACAAATATTTCAGGGTTTAGCAGACTGTGTCACAGTACATTTTTGAGATTTTGCCTTTTTAAAAATTTCCTTTTTATTAAATTTATTGGGGTGACACTGGTTAATACAATTATATAGGTTTCAGGTATACAATATAATGCATCATCTGTACACTATATTGTGTATTTACCACCCAAGTCAAGTCCCCGTCCATCACCATTTATCCTCCTGATACCCTCCTCCATGTGCCTCCTTTGGGCAATCACCACACTGTTGTCCTTGTACATTAGTTTTTTTCTCTTTTAAAGCAGACAGGTGAACTGTATTTTTGAAACAAATCACAATAGTGTTCAAGAACTAATAGCAAATCACACGTTAAAATGGCTATTATCAACAAGTAATAAGAAGTGTTGGAGATGTTGTGGGGAAAAAAAAAAGGAGCCCTTATTCACGGGAAGTGGGAATGTAAACTGGCACAGCCACTATGGAAAACAGTATGGAGTTTTCCCACAAAATAAAAAACAGAGTTACCATATGACCCAGTAACTCTCCTTCTGGGTATCTACGAAAAAAATTGGAAAACATTTACTTGTAAATATACACATCCCTATGTTCATTGCAGCATTATTCAGTGACTAAGACAGGAAACAATTGAAGTGCCCTTCAATAGAGGAATGTATAAAAAAGCTATGATACATATATACAATGGAATGCTACTTAGCCATAAGAAAGGATGAAATACTGCCATTTGCAACAACATGGATGGACTTTGAGAATATTGTGCTAAGCGAAATAAGACAGTCAGAAAAAACTAACAACCATATGATTTCACTCACTTGTGGGATATAAACCTGAAACTCACAGACATAGACAACAGTATGGTGGTTACCAGAGGAAAGGGGGTAGGGGTAGAAATGAGTAAAGGGAGTCAATTACATGGTGACAGAAGATGATTTGACTGTGGATGATAGGCACACAATGCAATAAACAGATCATGTGTTACAGAAATGTACACTTGAAATTTATATAATCTTATTAACCAATGTCACCACAACAAATTTAATAAAAAATAAAATACTAATGGAAAAATGTTTTCAAACTTCGAAACACTACCACATAAAATCTTCACGTTCCTTTCTCTAAACCAAATCACCTTCTTTATCTACTATCTTCTGGTCTCATCTCTCCTACTTTCCAACATGACAGCTCTAATTCTTAATTTATCAACTCTAATCTCCATGTATTGGTCCATATAATTTGTTTATTCTGGGTTATTCTTTTCACTCCCCATAATGTCATAATTCCCCCATCCCCAAACAATGAGGTACTTCAACAATCTATCCACTCTAAGAAAATATTTAAATTTCACTTTGAAGTTGTTGATCCTAACCCAACTACACTCATCATTCTATTATTACTCCATGTCCCCATAATACACCCATGAAGTTTACGTTGCATTCCTTTATCAGTTCCTTTTTAACAGAATAAACACTGTAATAAAAAAGGTAAAATGAAAGAATAAAATAACTTATTTTAAATGTCAGGAAATAAAATCCATGATATTTTTACTGTTATAATCTAGTAATTTTAATTAAATATAATGAAAAAAGGAATTGATATAATTAATGTTACAATACTTTTGAGATATAGGAAACTATTGTTAGGAACCAGCTCTAGGCCTAGATGCATTATTTTGCAAATATTACACAACTCAAAATCTCTCAGATTCCCCATCTATTATAAAATGCAGATCATTCGAGAGACCGCGCCATTTTGGGCGATTGTTGCCGGCATCCAGAGACCAGCTACTAACCTGGAAACAAGGGATCTCAAGCAGCGTGACTCAGACAAGAGGCAGAGCCACGAACTGTCTCTTCTGTGATCACAAATAAAGGCAGTCTGGTAAACATACAACCTGCCTTAAAATCAGGTCTGTGGTTTACTGCACGGAGGGACAGTGTATCACAGGGAAGTTCAACACTCCCCTGAATGTCTGGCAGGACTAAGGCGTGCCAAAAAGAAGAGTGGAAGATCTGAAGCATTTTCACTTCCGAATATTTTTTTTATATATATTTTTTAATTCTTTTTTCACTATTTCATTTTATTATTATTATTTTTTATTTTTTTTATCACTTGATTTTTACCTTTTTAGTTACTACATTTTTTAAACCAGTATTATTGCTAT